TTGCTTTGAAACATCTCACTGTAGCATTTTAATATCTTTTGCCAAATGATAGCAGTTGTTCGCATTCTTGAATAATGACGCAGGTTGTTCAGATCTTAAAGTCACTGCAGTTGAACTGCAATTACAGAATCGGTAGCAACAGCCTCTCCACAATCCCAGCAAGCAGAAACGGGTCAGGCAAGTTTCTCCCCAGCACGTGGACAGAGAGTGGGAGGACGTGGATCCCAGTGGCAGAAGTTTGTAGCGTCAGCCGCGGAGTCACGGCGCCCTCTCTGCTTCCACAGCACTGCTCAGGGGGACGCGCCTGCCTTGCTGTCCTCGCGGAACCGCAGGTTCTCTCGTCAGCTGAGATTCCAGGGGAAAGTTCTGGGTGAATATCTGAGGATTTCCCAACACAGCACCTGAGCTACCCACCTCTCCACGCGAGGGACTGTGTGTGTTGGGGGGACATTTTTAAGCCCCTGAAAATATTAACCCTTCTCCATGTGTTTCCCCTTGTAAGTGGCCCCATGGAAAATCCAACATACAGTTTCAATAGAAGTAAATAACTGAACCCTGATGTTCAGAGAATTATTAATACAAATTTTATAGACGTTAAAGAAAGAAACAGATTTAGAGATACACATAAAAATTCCAGCACTCAGTTGCCAGGCTTCTGGGTGGCGATAGAAGTTCAGGGGGTTTGCACTTGGAGGTCTGGGACAGGCATTTGATGCGTATTTTGAATGTGACACTTGTCACTGGCACTTACAGTGGTCCCACATGCATGTAATATCATCCCTCACGTTTTTCCGAGTGAGATTGTTTATAGTAGAACAATAAATCACTTTTACATTCCTGGTTAACTGAATATTTTTGAACTTTATAATTTAAAAATTAAGTATTAGTTGTCAGTCCTGGGTAAATAAAAATTACAGTACATAAAATACTTTAGCTATAGAGACTAACGCTGAGAAATGATTTTTGAAAAACTCAAGTATCTTATTGTATGCATTCAGTCATCCATTCGCCTATTCTTTGGGTAAACATTTGCTGTGTACATACGATTCTGTGCGACAGAGTCCTGGATTCCTTAATGACTGATTAAAAGCAGAATTAGAAGCTGGGAAACAAGAGTAAAGGAGGAATTAAAAACGATCCTTCGATCCCATTAATTTGCTGCCACAGATTAAAATCAACAGCTAACAAAAGCATTTTACACATTCCAGAAAAATATTCAATTACTCAGTTGGATAGGTTGGGTGGTAATAACTGTCCTGATTCTGTTTATGTGACGATACAATTAGAATAGCCTTACCAAAACTGATCATTATTAGTTACAGGCAGTGTAATCTACCACTTTGTGTATGTCAGGTGAACATCAAATATATTTGAAAATTTTAAATTAAATTTAGCAATATAACTCAAAGTATGTACATCTTCAAAAAGAAGATGAATCAAGACAGAGACAGGGATTACCAGACAATCCCATAGGAGTTAAACATACGTGATTAAATGTATTTTGAAATTTAAAAAATGAAATGATTATTTAATATCCAAAAGTATCTGAGGACCTGACGACTCTCTTCAAGAAAGACATTCAGGTCCAGGCATGAACATAGTTTTGGTTTTAAAAGCCTATTAGTGGTTTCTTTTACCATGTAAATAGCACCATGAAAATCCCTGATGACTTTTTAAAGTGGTTTCCTAATTACAGGGAAAGAGATGAAAATGCACCTCTGTTTTGTAATTCAGTTATTGGATCCGTCTGGGTTCTGCTGGTTTCTCGGGGTCAGGTTGAGGAGAGCCCCCTTGACACTGGGCTGGAGGCAGGAGCAGCTCGGTCAGCCCCGAGTACGCTGAGCCCAGTGTAAGGACTTGTGCACAAAGGGAAGGTTAATTATGCCATTTATGATGGGGGAACCGTGCACATCACACATTTTAGAAAGATTTCTATAAAAATTGCATGAAACTGAAAGTGTTGGTGCTTACAAGAAACTATGCAGGTGGATGAGTCCGCCCCTGTGGGAGTCGAATGAACGAGGCAGGGAAAAGGCTTGTTAGAACTGCGCTTTCCCCGATGCATTTGGGATTGAGTGAATCTCGTCTGGAAACCCCTTCTGGATAAATTTCCCAAATGTCCAGAGTGACAAGAACAGTCAGAGACGGGAAGAAAGCAGAGTGGACGGACATCAGGAGCGGCTGAGCTGCTGGCAGAGGGAGAGGGAGTGGCCGGAGACTCGGGTCCCACTGAAGCTGCGCCTGAAGCTCCGTGTTTATCCTGATTGTACCGGGAGGGCTCCGTTCTATGCCGCACCAGCAGAGCCCGGCCAAATGCGAACAGCCTAAACTTCCAAAATACCTGAACACCTAAAACACAGTTACAAATCAGTTCCGCCGTAGCATAGCGGCATTTCCACTGCAGCTAATGGCGGCTTCCCCAGACAGCGCGAGCAGAGAACATTTCATGATCACAGAGAGTGAGGCTGACTGTGCTGGTCTAGAACATTCTTTGCCGTGCCAAGGCGATATCAGGAAATAGCCACCTGTCTGTTCAATGTAGGACTCGAAGCAAAGGAAATTGACTGTCCTTCAGGTCTTCAAGGCACTGGGTCGCGTGGAGGAGAGTTTGGAGCAACACGTTCTACTGGAAAGATGCTAATGGAATGAGATGCAGCAAACTGCTCCACGATGTACACTTGCATCGCTTTGAATAATCTCCACTGCGAATGTATCATTGCTTTAAATATATGCCTGATTATCGACTTACACCTGGAATTCTGGACACCATTTCTGAATTCAATCCTTGAAAGTCATTTGCAAGCCAAAAAGAAAATTTAAAAATTAGCATTCTGTCGTATAAAGCACAAATATGTAATCAAGATAAAATATATTCTGAATGGCAAGCTCCGCCATTCGGTTTGAACGTAACAGCCGCACTTAAATTCATTGCTGTCTCTTAATTAGAACTTCAAGGATAGCAGCATAAAAGGAATTACCGTAATCAAGCCCATGAGTGTCTAAGTGAGGGAATGAATATCGGAGAAACTAAACTTTGAAGGCAAAAGATTCAACAGAAAGGATTAAAGCCATGTTGACACTTTAATTAATGTGAGTCACAAAACATAAGTGCAAATCAGACAGGACACAGAAATCACATCCCACACAATGGTTTCCCTGAAGTTATGAGAAATTATGTGGCCACACGAGTACTGGGGCAACATCGACAGGTTAGCGGCAAAGATGTCTATTTTGGATGTGTTAATTAGCAAGAAATTATAGTCTAACCAGCACTTAACATCTTGTAGACAGTCACACAGAGTGTTGGCAGCTGCTCTGCTGTTCCAGACACTTCCTGTTTTCATCTTGAATACTTGAAAATCACACCACACAGGAAGAACTTGTATTTTCTGAAGAAAGACTGAGAATGAATCAATTTTTAATGACATGAAGTCATGTAAGTCTCTAAGTACAGAATCTGGAATGTTCGAAGGGCCCGACAGCAAAACAAAGGATGACCCAGAAAGCGAAGTCGTTCTCAGTGACGGAGCAAGCTGAGTTTCAGGGTGATCGGGTGTCGGGACGAAAGAATAACAATGTGTCAGCGACATAGTTTGGTTCCTTCCCAACTCAGTTGTTCATCAGGACACAATGATGTCCTCTCTTTAAGAATGAGAAGCTTTAAACTGAGATGAAAAACATTTTTGAAAAGAATGATTTTTTTCAGCAAAAAAGCTGACATACCAATCAGCACGTGCTGTTGGTGAACCTGTTTTCTGAAAAGCTGTGAATTGTACAGCGGACGGCACCTGTCACAGCTTCACAATGTGTGTGTAAGAGTGAGCGTGTGCGCACGCGAGTGTGTGTATGCGAGTGTGTGAGAGTGAGCATGTGTGTGTGCGAGTGTGTGTATGAGAGTGAGAGTGAGCGTGTGTGTGATCATGTGTGTATGTGTGTGTGTGAGCATGTGTATGAGTGTAAATGTGTGTATGGTGTGTATGTGTGTATTAGAGTGTGTGAGAGTGAGCGTGTGTGTGATCATGTGTGTATGTGTGTGTGTGAGCATGTGTATGAGTTTGAATGTATGTGTGTATGAGAGTGTGAGAGTCAGCGTGTGTGTGATCATGTGTATGTGTGTGTGAGCATGTGTATGAGTGAGAATGTGTGTATGGTGTGTATGTGTGTATGAGAGTGTGTGAGAGTGAGCGTGTGTGTGATCATGTGTGTATGTGTGTGTGTGAGCGTGCGTGTGAGTGTGAATGTGTGTATAGTGTGTATGTGTGTATGCGAGTGTGTGATCGTGTGCGTGTGAGTGCGAGTGTACGTAGTTTTACATGGGATAGTCATCGTCGATGTGAATGACGTCTACACTGAAGTGGAACCAGAAGGCATGTTTACTCCCAAGATTTAGAGGGAGGCTACGGCTGTAGGTGCTGTTTTGCTGATGAGGGAAAAGACTTTCACGGCGCACATGGTGAACAGTGAGTGCCTCGCTGTTGAGGGGTAAGTTAGCACATCTAAAGTTACTACGGAAAAGAGAGTGAACTTCAATAAAAAACTAACCAGACAATAAAGCAAGTGCTCCTTGCAAGAGTGAAACGTACTCACTGTCTCACCTCTGACCTGCTGATGCTTCTGCGTCGGATTAATATCCCCTCAGTATCGCCTGCTTCTGCCATAAAGTTGATCAGAGAGCTGGAAGGCGCCCAGGCCTGCAATGGGGACTGCCTAGTCATGACCTCAAGGTGAGCACAGTGAAAAGAAAATCCGGGCATCGATCCCGGGACAGACGAACATTCTGCACTGTGCTCTGTCCAGCCGGAAGGCTGACGTTGGTTGTGCCGGTGGATCAGGGCTCCTGGGACCAGAGTCCTCTCTGTGAACTTTCAGCGCCCACGAGAACCAAGGCACCATCACCTTGAGCTGCTGAGTGTGAACGGAGCAGTGGCGGGAAGTGTGTAGGGTGTGGGGACGGCCCTGACTAGACAGGGTGCGGCCCTGGGAGCCGGGTGACCGGGCACCTGCTGCCTTCCTGGGAGAGGGACCGGGGTCATTGCTCCCACGCCAACCACGGCGACGACATGCTGAGAGCTCAGACACACACAGGCGACCCCACGGCTGGTGCGCTCTGCGCACTGCTGCTCTGCCCGAGTGATGGGGACAGACTTGTCTCACGTTCCCCATCTATGGTGGTGCCTGCGCGCTCAGACCGTCTAGGGAAGTGGAGAAGAGGCTCGCTCCCGTCCTCCGGGTCTCAGGGAAATCGCGTTCCTCACAGGCCTCAGGCAAAGGGCACATTGACGCAAACGCGGCACATTGACCCAAACGCGGCACATGGACTCATCCTGGTATAGCCTTGCGAGAAGAGCGGGGACTGCGTGACACGCAGACCAACGTGGCGATTCACTGTGCTTCCAGAAACTGCTCGTGGCTCTGGTTTGCCGCCTGGGCCTGTGTCCTGTCTCGTGTGTTACTCTTTTTTTTTATTAATTTTTTTTTATATACATTTTTTTTTAAATTTTTTTCAGACAGAGTCTCACTCTGTCGCCCGGGCTAGAGTGCCGTGGCATCAGCCCAGCTCACAGCAACCTCAAACTCCCGGGCTCAAGCGATCCTCCTGCCTCAGCCTCCTAAGTAGCTGGGACTACAGGCATGCGCCACCATGCCCGGGCTAATTTTTTCTATATATTTTTAGTTGTCCGATTAATTTCTTTCTATTTTTTGTAGAGACGGGGTCTCGCTCTTGCTCAGGCTGGTCTCGAACTCCAGAGCTCAAACCATCCACCCGCCTCGTCGTGTGTTACTCTTTATTAAAGAAAAGAAAAGAAAAGTCTGAGCCTGACTTTAGGAGCTGGAGAAACGAACGATGCAAATTCTACGATGGACTACAAGGAAGTCCGTCTGAGTCCACGGCAGGGCTGATTCGTGGATTTACACGTCCCCACACTCCCTCGACTTCCTTGGTGCTGCTTGCCTGACATGAAGGCTTTATTCTCTCTCTTCTCTGCTTTCCTGGAAACTCAGCAAGAACGTTCACAAAACGAAAGTCATCTGCAGGCCGGCGACAGCCCTAACACCTCACGGTAGCTCACAGAGAGAGAGAAAATCCTGTTTCTCAATTAGTTCATTGCTCATTGTTTTCATTAAAGAAATGAACAGATACTCATCGACTGTCTACCGCACGCCACGTAGAAAAATCCCTGCCTCCACGGTACTTGGATTCTAGCATGCGGGAGGCTGATGAACAAGATAAATCACTAAAACGTGCAAGATCAGATGCCTCCCAGGGCAACTCCACTCAAGTCTTCAGGAAGGAACCTCAGTGTAGGGAGAACCATCTGCTTTCTGCCCAAACCAACAGTCTAACTGGATACTCAGTTAGCACCAGGTTTGCGGAATCACTTGGAAAAGGAAAGAAGCACAGACATCTCTTCACCCCACACCTGTGTGCTAAGGAACGTGTGACTGGAATGAAGCTGAGTGAATGCTCCAGGCAATGGGGCTGTGGACAGGAGCTCCGGGGCTATGGCGAGCCTGCTGCCTGCTGGGCCGGGTTCAAAGGCAGCTCTCGGTAAGTCCTGTTTCCTACGGAGGCCAGAGACCAGCACGTGTCTGGCCAGGAGTGTGTCGGCTTACACACTTGTAAGACTGCATCCTGGTTTGTCTTTTACTTTTCAGATTTCCCTCTGATGAGCCCGAGTCCAGGTGGAGACTGTAAACCAGGCCTTTCCTGCTGCGTGGCAGGAGCCTTGTAAGCTGGACACTGTCTCTTATTATTGTACACGGAGAAGGCTGCCCTTGCCACTCCGAGGATGTGAGCATGTGAGCGGCAGATGGAGAGAACAGCGCTGGGGGCCACACAGGAGACCCACTCGGGAGGGGTCACTCTCTGGAAGGAGCAGCTGTCCTCTGCCGAGCCCCGTGGAAGGTTCTCAGACTCAGCTGTGCACCAAGAATGTCGCGTCCCTCTGAGGACAGGGCTGAGGCCCTACTGGAACTCAGGACGCCGTGGTCCCTCACCCAGGGCTTGTGCAGAGCGAAGCCACCCTCCGCGTGACCCTGAGGGTCTGGGCTTCTGAGGGCAGATGACCACTCCGGAGGGTGTTGGGAGGTGGGGCATGTAGGAGGCGCAGAGTTCGCGAGGGTGGAGCCCTCCTGAGTAGGGGACCCAGGGATCTGCCTCCACCCCGTTCCCGCCGTGTGAGGACATGAGCGGGTGCCGTGTGTGAGCCAGGATGTGCGTCCCCACCGGAACCCGGCCACGCCGGCGCCCCAACCTCCGGAGCCGTGAGAAAGAAATTTCCGCTGTTTAGGAGCCACCCCGTCTGCGTGCAGAGACCCAGCAGGGGACTGGTCTCCACAGCAGCCCCACAGCGTGGCGGAGGGTTGGCGGAATTCACAGCCACGGCTGACGCGCATGTTCTGCCATCTGCGCTCACAGCGGGAGCAGGCTGTGAAATCAGTCAGAAGTCGGTGAACACGAAGATGCACTTTTCAGCCCATCCGAGTTCGAGGCGTCCGAATGTGAGAGCGAATTATGGAAGGTGCCCTTGGGGGTCTGCGCTTTGCTCCTACGCCTTCCTGCAGGTGTCCACGCAGGACCCGTCCAGGTGAGGGGGCACCGCTGTCCCTGGAGCCGCAGGCCTTTGGCTGCAGCCAGGCCCATGCCCCCGGGGCCCTCGGCTAGCCTGGGATGTGCCAGAGCCTGAGGCCCTGTTAGCACCGCCCTCCTGAATCCTGCGCCAGCCGCTCTCCTCTGGCTCTGCTCCTGGGCTCGGGCCTCTCGCTCTTCTCTTTGGTGACAGGTCCAGGCTTTCCCAGGTCTCCCTCGACCTCCTTTGTCTTCTGGCTCCATCCGCCTGGGCCTGGCTAACCCACTAAGGCCAGCGACAGCCCTGTCTAGTCAGGCCGGCCGAGTCCAGCAGCCGGGGTGGACTTCGCTCCCCAACGTCGCGGCTCCCTGGGGGTCGGGCGGCACTCGCCCCCCGGGTCTGCACCTCTGCACAGAGCCCTGCTGTCTGCAACAGGCCAGCGCCCGGAGGGGCACCCAGTCTGTACCCACGGGCTTTCTGAAACAGATGGGCTTGTAAATACTTTTATTAATATGATTTATTGTACTTTTGCCGGCTTTATGGATGCACAATTGACGTACATTAGACACCTGACTGATTGTTTACAAACAGCGTATCGATATCCACGACAGCATCTTTCATTTTAGTGAAACTTCCCCGACTCAGCCAGGAGGACTGACATTTCCGACGTAGCTTTTTAATTTTCAATCTGTTTCCCAGGGTGAGGGCTGATGGTGAGAATTCTCCGAGTAAATCCTCTGACCGTGTTAAATACAGAGCCTGAAGAAATGCTCTATAAGGGTATGATATCAGTCAGGGCTTTCCAGAGAAACAGAACAGGCTCACACACCTGAAAATCCAGTCATTGTAAAAAGACAGCATCACTTAAAACACGGTCTTTTATTTCTAGAAGAGCAGAAGTGGGTGGATGAAATACACGGTCATATTTCTTCAGGTGGAGACAGGTCAAAAATGAAAATCACAGTATTGAAAACTGGTTTTCCTCCCTCCAATATGGAAAACACTGAAATGTAGAGATACTTTTTCCCCTGTATGGTAGTAAATGTCTATCTTGGAAGATGGAATTATCATGCAACCTTGAGAGATAAGTTGCTACAGAAATACAAACAATAAAATAAAAATAAGTCTACGGCTGTTTCTTCTGTTGCGCTTTGTATAGATTTATCCCTTTGTTTTAATGGCTTCTAGAATCAGTGGTGTCGTATGTTGAGACGAATTTTGACCCAGAGAAAAGTCATTATAATTGAATGTTATACCATTTTCCTTCACGATATCAGTAATATTCCCTCCCTAGAGAAATCGGGTGAAACGCATATTTAGACAAGTGAATCTATCCGATAAATCATTTCACAGATGAGAAGGAAACCAGGTGTGAAATGAAAGTTACATGTTTTCAAAACCACTTCATTAAGCGAGAGGACACTAGTCAATACATACTGTTTTCATGATGAAAGAAACAGCTGCATGGAGGAACGTTTGTGATCGTGGTCGTGCTGTCCGACGGCGTCTTCTGTTCCCGGCTGCACTCCTGGAGTTAGACTGAAAGAGCCTGCTGCGGCTCAGTCGCCAGCTGCCTTCAAGGCTCGGCGAAAACACAGCTGCACTCAGGTCCCCAAGCAAGCGAACGCTGGAGCCTCAACCTGTCCGTGCTCGAAATAGATGGTCTGATACATATTTTTAAATTCTTAATAAATCGTTCATGCACACATTTGACATTGAATTTATTATTGTATGAATATTAAAATTACATGTTTGCATGTATACAAGGTGAGACAATCTGATAACACCAACTTTTATTTTTCAAGCTTGCATAAAGGAACATGCTTAAATGAATCTTATTCTTCAAAATAATCACTTTGGAATGGTTTTGAAAACATCTTGGATTTATTTTCAAGAGCTAGTTTCAGAACCATAAAAAACTCAGTTTGTCAAAGTAATCTCTCTCTCCCCCCACACACAGACGCATATGTCGACAAAAGACAGCTATTAACTGTTACTGTTAGTATATAGATTTCCAAGTATTTAAACACAAAGGTAAGAAGTGTTTACATAGAAAACTATTGAATTCCATTTGTCTTGCTGACAGGAAGCTCTGTATCGAATTTGAAGTTCAGCTGTCAGGATTATTTAGGCATCTCCACCTGTATGTTGCGATAGCTTTTCTCCATTTCCTCCATATTTCTGTTTTTCCAGACAGGGATTTTTCATTTCTTTGGTATTTTTCATAATATTATTAAATAGACTATACGACATGCTATCTAAATCCTATTTAGTAAAGAAAGATTATAAATATTTAATATACATTAGAGTAAAACAGGAAAAGGGAGAGATTAATGATGAATCTGTACTTATATTTCTTCAAAAAGGTACTTTGAAACTGGACAGTGCTGGCCAAGTGTATCTCCTTCTCCGTTTCTTCCTAATCTGATCGCAGACGGTTCCACGACTCCGACACGCCCCTCGCGGTTGAGAGGAAAGTTTGACTCAACAAGCAGGCCGAGATCCAGTAGAAACTTCAGATTGAAGCATTTTGGGGTGATTTATTTAGTGTACATTTTTGGAAAGCAAAAATGTACATGGTAAAAATTGTAGTGTATTATAGTATAATAAATGAGGATTTTAGTCTGAGTTCGGCACTGGTTTTTATCTCCATGAAATCTGTTTTATTTTTATTCTCTCCATAATGACAGCCCTAAAAACAATACAGTCATCTTCTACTAGGTAATTATTGTTTCCAAGCATTTCTGAAGACCATGAAAGTGTTTAATTGTTCACTTGCTCACGAGAGGCAATAAACAGATATTGGTGACTATGTGTGCAATGATTTCTTAAAGTGTTTTTTTAATGCAATGATTGCAAAGTTCATCACTTGCCTATGTCTCCACTCTACTCTATTTTCATCCTGCCCTTTCTTACCAGGGTAGAGCATGAGGGGCGGGAGCGAGTAGAATGGGCCCCCCAAGAGGACAAGCAGAGGCTGCACCCCGCCGCCCACACGCTGCCCACGCCCGCCGCGCCGAGAGGTCAGTGTTCAGAGCCCCCCGGGTTCCCGCGGGCAGGCCCTGCACCCTGCCCCCGTCCCCACGAACTGTGTGGAGAATGGAGCGTGCCGGGATCCGACGCGAATCTCAGGAAGGCCCAAGGCGTCGTCGTCGGAGAGTACTGGGAAAACCTCTGCTCAGGGGCCATGAAGCCAAATGAAAAGAACACCGAGGGCCCGCAGCTTTCCTTGAAAAATGACCGTCAGGCTTACCTGAGTGAATCATCCAAGGCTGCTACTTCGCTTGAACACCTCAAACACTGAGAGTCGAAGCAGTGAACAGAGCGGAGATCTTACCGTGACGACCTGACGGAACACGGGTTGAATCCAGTCTATTTTCTTCCATCGACAGACTCTGCAGTGAAGTATTTCCCTCTCAAGGCGCCCCGCAGCGCGGACTGCACGGCACGGCGTGAATTCTGCAGCGCGCTGTCTCCTGCAACCCCTGCTCACTGTGGCATTGCGACGGAACAAGAGCTCCTCCCGTGTGATGCCACACCCCTGCCCAACCTCTCTCTCCCGCTACCCGTCTTCCGCTCCCAGTGCCATTTATGGGAACAGAGTTTGATCTGTTCCTTCCCCGGCCATCCCTCAAATTCCGTGCTACGTCTGAAGCGTTCCAAACCTGCGCTGTTCAGAACAGCTCGCTCTTCAACACCATGTTCTTTTACAGCTTCTCCCCTTAGCCTTATGTGCGGCGCGGCAAACTTTCCTGCTTGCTGTGTTTTATGGGTTTCTCTGGGCCATGCATATTCATGGTGTTACATAAATAATAATAATGCAGTGTAATATTAGGCAGGGATGTTTATGTTAGGTGGTAAATCTTCAAAGGGGTGAGGACAGAAGAACTAAAGGACATTGTGAGCCTGAATCCCGGAGTCCTAAGACAGTTAGTGGATTTACATTAACGACTGATTTGCTTTGCAGCAGTGAATCATGTTTATAGATCTGCATACGGAGCAACAGAATTCAGGCTGGACACGGGAGTCCCTGCATAGCCACTGAAATCTCACTGCAACCTATCAGACTTGGATATTTAAAATGCATCACCTTCTAAATGTTAGCACTTAAATTTTTTCTCCTATCCAATACTTTACAAAAGTTAGGCGTGTTTATTTTAAGGTACCTCGATAATAGATTTCAGTCTAAGAAAGAGAAAAGTTATTTGTAAAAGACAAAAGCACCATGCAAATGGAACAAGGAATCGAATGCAATTAGGAAAAGTTGCCAAACGTGTGGAGAGCAGGTCAGTCGAGGAGAGGGGCAGGGGAGCCCACTCCTCCAGGACACAGACCAAGCACCTGCAGGTGTTCCCCTGGGGGGCTCAGAGAGGGCGCCCTTTACCTGTGGACCTGATGGTGGAGGTGATGTCGGAGGGCGTCATCATGGGAATACATTCATCATCTTGGGAGTAGCCGGCTTGGATGGCGCGAAGGTAGCTGTGACTCCGTGTTCGGAAACACCCCGGGAGGTCGAGAGCGTCCATGGCCTGAGACTCGACTTCGCTGAACACGGACTCGCACACCGACTCGAACTGTCCGTTGATCTCCGCTTCGCTCACCTGCAACGAGCGACAGCGCGGCTGACGCCTGGGCTCGGCACAGCCGCCACCGCCATGTTCCCAAAGAGCAGGGCGGCGGTTTCATCCCACGACACTCATTTGCAGTGTGGTATTTTCAGCACCGTCAATCTGAAACCAGCATGGGGGATCTGCTAAGCTGGGGAAATAGCTGCTTGGGATTCTCCTCCCAGAAGCCTTGGGTGAACGGCCAATTTTAAGAGGCTGATGGAATTGCTGGGACCCACAGGCAGCCTCAAGGTGTGGCTGGCGGTTATCGCCAAGCTCAAGAGAGAAGCGCGTTCAAAAGTGCAGCGCAGCACCTGGTGCAAAGCAAGTGCGCAGCCCTCAGTTCTCCCTCCCTCTCCCTGAATGCCTCCTTCACCTCTCCCCGCTATTTGCAGCACAGATGACTCTGGGGAAGGAGCTGCGCGAGCGCTTCAGCTACTTTTAGTTCTCCGGGATCGAGAGATTGCGTCTACCCATTGCCATGGAAACTAATCACAAATCTGGCATATAAGCTCGTCTCCTTCTCACCATCACAGTGGCTGGGATCCGAGTCCAGATGAGAAAGAAATGGCTGCTTCGGTGTTTTTGTTCACATGAGATAAGTTACTCTGCCTAAACTCCAGGTCCCCCCTCCTTTAGCGTAGGATATTCGTATAAGTCACTTCCTTTGACAGTTTAGCAGAGAAAACAATTATTTTCCAGCCTGCAATGTGGCTTCCAGGTTTGGAGTCACCCTGGGAACCTGACGTTGCAACTGCCTTTGAAGAGCATTATCCTGGCTTTGGGGTGAGGGGCCCCAGGCTGATGCCGCACACGGCCAGCTGCCAGGTGGGTCACGGGCCTTGCTCAGGGTGGCTGGGTCGGGGGTGACACACTGTCCTGCGGTTTCCTGATGGTGACACTTGTGTCTGCCCCATGAGCCAAATCTGGAGCTTTTAAATGGAAATCTGATAAAGTGAACTATGGGACTAAAACAACGTTGAAGAGACCGGAGGGAGGAGGGGTGAGGATTTTAAGAACGAAAACCTGAAACTGGGCGGGTAACATATACGGGAGGTCACAGGCCCCGGGGCCCAGCTCTGTGAGTGACCCCCTCCCTTGCTGACGGGCACTTTGGTAAGTGACTCCCCCAACCCCAGTTACGCGTAGACTCTGGGCAGCCCCCAGAGTGTGTCCTACGTGGGTGGACACACATGTGCACATGGGGGTGCTTGTTCATGACGCACGTGAGCGAGGGCCGGGCTCTTGGGCGCCTGTCTCCCCTGGGGCAGCACTGGCGGGGCCTGACCACGTGCCCCCTTCACGCTCAGCCTCGTCCTCTGTCTGGTGGGTGGAATCCTGTCACCCGCCCTTGGGACTGTGTGGGCACCAGAGTTTGAGCTGAGCACTGACGCCCCAGCATGGCCTTCCAGGGCCAGCCGCTCATCCTCCAACCTCCCCGACCCTGCCAGGCACCCGAGACGCACACAGAACAGCGATTCCCCACACACTGACACCCGCTTCCAAACTCAAACACGCCGCTCCGCCTTGTGCTCCGCCTGCCTCGTGCTCCAGCCCTGCAGCCCCGCTGGGCAGTCTTTTCTCCCTGGAAGTCCCGACCCGGGTGAGATGCTCTCGCCTGGGCTCCCCCCACGGCCATGCGAGTTTGCACCCAAGCACCCATCTGCAAGTCCGTCTGCAAATGCTCACTTCTCTGCCTTTGCCCGGTTTTTCTTCAAAACCAGATGCCGTTTTTCCTCCCTCTCAGTCAGACACTGACTCTGACGCTGCTCCCTGCGCGGCAGGAGGCAGCCTGTGCCTGGGTCAGCCTAGGCTCACAATCGGTACTGCATAGGCAGTCAAGGAAAACATCACGTTCACAAACTGAAGGTGCGTTCAAGCACCGTTTCCACAGGCAATAAAAATAAGTAAGCGATATGTTTAATTAAGATTTTAAAACTCTACTCATATTTGTCCTGCAGTACGGGGTGACTGCAATGAACAGGGCCTGTTTCGCTCTGTCATTGCTCATTCTCTCGCTGTCCCTGAGGGTGGGGTGCAGGGTCCCTTCACCTCAGAGCCACCCTGTCTCGGGGCCCGGTTAGAGCACAGTGGCTCCAGGGCACCCCTGATCCTACTTGGGGCCACGGTGCCCCCAGAAGTAGGTCTTGCCCTGGAGTGAGCCTGAGGAATGGGGCTCTCGGGGTGTCACCAGGCACCATGGCCAATGTTTGTCCTCCCTGGGGACCTTCCATGGCACAATCACCAGGACAGGGCTGAAAGCCGGACAAGCAGAGCCCTTCCCTGGCCCTGTTTCATTGGAAGGAAGTCCCCGGTAAAAGCAAGACGGCTTGAGCTGGATCAAGGAGAGAGGCTGAGATGGCCGGTTTACCCATCACTGTTACGCAGATGAAATCAACGTAGAAATGGTATAGAGTCATAAACGTCAAAAAAACTTAACGTTTAAAGTTCATGGGTTTTCAATTAGTCAAGCTAACACCAGGCAGGAGCTTCCTGCGTGCTCTGGTCTGCGTATAAGACATGCTGACTGGGGCTCATTTCTCCCCAGCAGCAAGGGCCTCTGCCACAGCCTGCTCTGCAGCCTGGCCCCAGGAGGGGACAGAAGGGACCCCCACCTGGCTCTGCAGCCTGGCCCC